ACCGCTTTCTCTCATAGATCACGTTATATAATATAGATTCTATATGCTAAGAAAGACCTTTGGAAACTCGTGTCAATGACCGTGATGTCGCTCTTTCTCTTTCTCTCTTTGGAGTCCATGAAATGAAAGTGTTTCAGGATATTAAACCGTCAAGAACCCGTAAGACGTTATTAAACTGTAAAGGACAAAATTACCTTGTTCCAGAGAAAGAGCTACATGCATAATTCTGTCCTCAAATTCTATATAAAATCCCTTCAATCAATTATACCCTAAAAAGTGATGTCAAATTTGTCGTAACTCGATGAAATATTATCATTAAGGTTTTCTTTCTTTTTTTTATAAAAATAATCAAGTGCGGCAAATTATTAAACTCGAAGCTTATTTTATGTAACATTAAAAGTCTTATAATATGTTCCCATGTGCCGCATTTTAGCTATTTAATTCTCTATTTTTAGCTCTAAAATATATTACACAAAATAAGGAAAGGCGATCAATATAATCTAATAACCTCCCAACTTCGCGTCAAGAAATCCCGACGTAGTGTCGACCGGCTTTAATAACGATGCAAGCGGATAAGACCGTCCCGAAGGGCTCTGATTCATAACGATACGCGTGTTCGGGGCGAGAAACTTCTCGTAGAAATATTGCGGAGCTCGGGAAACAAGTCGCGTACCGGGGCGCAGCCGGCCGTCCGGAAAGGCGAAACAGATTTCCTTTACTGCCCTTCTGCCCCAGCGACGATGAGAACTGTTACGATCGAAGGGACCGGGCTCGGAAACTGTATTCGAAACGCGTCGAAAAACGATTTATTCAGGAGGTGGAGAGATAGAGGTAAAGAGAGAGAGATAGGGTGTGGAAGCATTTTTTTTTTTTTTTTTTTTTTTTTAACACCCGCGACGCGAACACTCGTTCGTTCACAATTGCCCTAAGTCGAACCGCGTCCATTACGCATCTCCGTGGCAGGAGAGGAAAGCTTTGCTCGCAGATCGCTTTTTTTCCTGCCGCATTTCGCTTTTCCTTTACCCCGTCGCGAGCTTCGCGTCGTAGTCGTCGACATCGCAAACTCGTCGTCTCCTTCCTCGCGGTACTTTTACACCGCAGGGCACAGATGCCTGTAATATTACATCCTCCGGTCCCTTTTATGGATATTGCTACGCCGCCTCTGCACCGTACATCCACGCTCCGTATCTGTGTGAATTATTATACGCGAGTAGTGTATATATATATATATATATATATATATATATATATATATATATATATATATATATATATATATATATATATATATATATATATATATATATATATATATATATATATATATATATATATATATATATATATATATATATATATATATATATATATATATATATATATATATATATATATATATATATATATATATACGCGTCTGCGCGTATATCCGTATAACGTCGACTCGACCGGGCTGTCCTTATTATTACCTCGGAGTCTGTCGTGAATTTCAGAGTTTCATGTTTCAGTTGTGAAGTTTAAGCTTCGTTTCGGAGTCGTTTATGTCATTTTTCAATCAAGAAATCGGAAAATTTATAATAAAATCGGAATTATATAGTACTGTATCGGAATTATATAATAATGATAAAATGCAGTTTTTTTCTATAAATCCATCTTTCATATATTTAGATATATCAAGTGACACAAATGGCAGGAATATTTATATATATAATTATGATGTATTATATATAATAATTAATAATATACTGTCTCCTTTTTCTCTTTTTCTGACGAAATTAATTTATATTGATGTATGTCTGCTCTTTTTTTTTTTATTTTTTTCTGAAATCTAAAGAAATGTTTGTTATCTGTAAAATAAAAGTTAAAAAGATATTTCAGAGTTTCATAATGTAAGAATAAAAAATATATTGGCGTTATAGAAAATTCATTTCTAACTATAACATCAAATGCAATAAAGCAATGTACTTTCTTACCACTTTAGCAATTATCAACTTTCCTCCTTACTTTACCACTTTAACAATTATCAACTTTCCTCCTTACTTAATCACAGCGTTCTTAATGCCAGCACAAGCCGACGAAACCGCGGTCTTATTCGGGCTACTTCACGCGTCTCATAAATATTAAATACCTCTCTTAATCCGGATTCTTACAAAATCTCGCGAAGTGCTATCGCGCTCACTTTCGCGCTTCTATTATTAAAAATTTTTGGTATACAGGATCTGTGGAATTATATAAATTTCTGTAATGAGCGCGTGCATTATCGCCGATCAATGCTAATATTCCGATATCGCTTCTCTCTCTCCCTCTTTCCTATATGTATGCTCGGTACGCTTCGTCGAATTTCATTATCGAACATCTACTACGGTTAAGTCGGTTTCCTGAGACTTCGCAAATTACGGAAATCAAGGGAGCTTTGGTAAGGATACTCCCGCTTCCTGCTTTCGCGCGCGCTTCTTGTTCCCTCGTCGCACGCTCAACTGGCTCAGACTATAGTACCTCTCGTCTATGATATCGGATATAGTCGAAATCAATCGTTCAATGACTCGATGAAAGCTCGCGCGGAGCTCATTCTTCGGGGCTCGGTGCAAGGTTCGCGGCCATTTTCCCGGCGCGGCATAAAGGAACGGTAAAAGGTTTCCGGCAGAAACAGATGTGAAAAGTTGCAGACGGCCGGGCGGAAATAAACTGCGGCATATGTCGTCGCACCCCGTCCTTATCCTTTAACGTTCTTCCTTTGGCGTCCTTTACGACGTTCGTGTCGGAGGTAGGAGCGCGCCGAGACGAGCTCGCGGCGGTAAAAGGCTAATTGGCAATTTACAAACGTGGGTGGGGTTATCTAAACACCGTATAAACGCGAACGACGTCCAACTGTATCAGTCGTAGAGTCCCGAGTGCATAAAGGCGGACGCATAAAAAAATATACGTGTGGACAGTAAGAGCGACGACGAGAGATGACTTCAGACAGACGGATTATATAATACACAGTGCTGGATAGAAAGCTAAGTACTCGAAAAGCATTACTTGAATTAAATTCCGTACGTCCGTTCTAGACCCCTTTACTGACCTCTCATCATTAATGCGAAAAGAGCATATTGTCAAAGACCACGCTTTAAAATTTAACAATATTTACGTTAATTTTTTAGTCACTTTTTAGATAAATTTTTCTCGGTTATGAGATGTATTTATATCTGAATTCTGATGTTACACAAGTTTTTGTATTGCTCGGACTTAAAATCGATATTTTAATTTCCAACTCCTTGAAATTTTCATGTGGTATTACAGTAGATAATCCTGGCAAGAATGTAATAGCACTATCATTTGCAATTCTCGCAATTATAGTTCGGGCGTTTCTCGATCGAAAATCCGCATGAATACACTATCGCAATTTTTTTTAAACATTCTCACAGATAGTTACTGGATTCCGATGTAACGACGCAAAGAAATCCTTAGTCTGCTTTTTCAATTTACCAACCATTCCTCCTCCCACCATAGAGCATACGATTTCAAATATCTTTGGGCGAAAAACAACGTGAATGCGTACAATACATGCGAGATATCTGTAGTATTATTTTCCTTTTCTTTATTTTATATATTTTGCGATTTGAGACATTTTTTCGAAAAAAATCATTTTATACATAAATATCGATTATATCTATTTAGTATGCATTTATCTTGATTTTACGCATATAATCAATATTGCAAAATTTTTTTGTTACGTTTTATATATTTTAGCAGGGAGATAGCAGTTTTTCCATTTTCTACATAAGAATCAGACTCAATTTTATGTCCCATCACGTCACATATAATCCACGAGCCATCAAACTTCATCTAGCTTGTAATTTTATTTATTTTTTATTCGACTCATTTCGCAACAGCACACGCGATCGCGACGTTTATCACCGCGTGTCCAATTCGCAATAATTGATAGCTCGCAGTGCTTTCTTCGAAATTTCTTTTATCCAAGTAACTATCCTTTTAACTGCTTTTCTATGTTCGTTCTTTTACGATCAGGCTGTTTTATTTGCACGACTAAACAGCAACAATACGAAGATTGCCTGATTCGATCGCCTGATCCACGCGCCCGTATTTCCCTGCCGATCTCGTAATTGCCCTTTTACGCTGATCACTATTTACTGCTGTATTTCGCATTACGTTGATTATTCGCATGTAAGCCCACGACCGACTGTCCCCGGCCGCGTATAGTATACGGACGCGTGATAAAGCGCGATAGCGAAACGTAGGTATCTCCCGCGACATATCTTCCGACGTTTTATCGACGTCGTAATTTAGAACGAGGCGTCCCATGGATATCTCGAGCCCCGCTTCGACCGATTTACGGCCCCGAGTAGCGCGCACCTGCATCTCGAGCCTTATTCGTCCTGTTCTTCGCGAATATTATTTTTCCGTGAAATAATGGAATCGAATAAAAAGAGTGTTAGGGAATTTACGTGAATTCGAGATAAAATCTTGCGCGCGATGCAAGATGTATTTTTTTGGGGGGGGGGAAACAGAGAGCTTGGCTTTTATCATTTTTTTATAATCAGAATGCACAGATATCGTCATATTATACCGTTAATGTAACAAAGTAAAAGGCGGTTTAAATTATCATGTGGTCCCCTCGAAACCATGCAACTTTTGTCTGAAACATTTTTTAATATCTCACTTCGTTTCCGAAAAATATGCCCGCGTCACTATAAATGCCGCACCCTGTATATATATATCTTTCTCATATATAATATATACGGAATGACATATTATATTACAAAAGACATATTTATACTATAAAATAAGAAAAAATGCTAGTAATATAATAAAACTTTTATCGCATTAATGTGTCGAAGGATCTCTGATGCGTGTAACGACATGATAAAAATAAAATTATATCTGCGACAGATGCGAATATTATTATATAAGAATATTTCATATAAAATCTGCATTATCTTCTTCGCGAAAATTCAAGGTAAACGTTACGTAACCATTGGCCGTTCTTTTATTCCTAGACTCGGAACAGTCGCCAGCCGTATACCTCAGGGACGATCCACTGTTTGGTACCCTTCAATTGCAGCAGCACAGCGAGCTCCGTGCGCCTACGGCGGAACGCGCAGCTTTCTACCTCGATGCGGCGGTCGCCGGTCGTCAACGGGAGGACGGCGACGCGCATATGCTCTATACATTGCACGTGTACCAATACAGCGTCGCCGGCAAGGGCGGAGGTAAATAAATCTTCGTCTCGAATTCTCTTGAATCACTGCATTTCGCTTACCGTCCGATTTTTCATCGTTATTTCAGAGTTTCGGTATAAATATGTACATGATATTCTCTCGCGTTTTTCTCGCTCCATGTTATAAAATTCAAAAGTAGCGCTACATATTTCTTGACTGCATAGTTGCCGGTGGCAGAAGTCGGCTGCATCTGATGGATCTAGGAAATTCAGACCGCGGCAAGTCCTCAGGCGGAATTCCTCTCTCCGGTCTGGGCAACATTCTCCTCGCGATCTTTAACGGTCAGAAGCATCTGCCGTACAAGGAACACAAATTGACACAACTGCTCAAGGAATGCCTCGGCTCTTTGACCTGCCACGCGGCTATGATAGCTCATGTATCTCCAAATGCCCAGCACTATACGGAGACGCTCACTACCGTTCAACTGGCGTCGAGAATCCATCGGATGCGACGTCGGAAGATCAAGTTCGTCGGCGGCGGGACGCAAGGTACCGGAAGCGGTGGCAGTTCCGGCGAGGAGGCGGCTCGGCAGAACAGCGAGTGCGATCCCAGCTCGAGTGATCTATCCGCCGACACGGTAATTTACGTCGGTCCGAGCGCCGACGATGCCACTGACGGCGAACACCCGCCCGTTTATATACCCAGCTTGAATTCGGGCGACAATCGTTGCGCGATGGGCAGGGTGCTCCGCGGTTCCGCCGCCGAGAGACCGAGCAAGATTCCTGAGGAACGCAGTCCGGCACATAAATCCAAGACGGTGAAAACGCTGACGCAGACCGCGTCGAAGCAGACCTCGCCGGCGCACAGCGCGACGCCGAAAGCGAGTCCGGCGAGGAAGAATTCCTCCTCAAAGAGCGCGTCCTCAGTGTCCAAGATCAATGATTCACCAGGTAGTAAGATCCCGGTAGCGGCGCCGAGCGGCGGCTCCGACGAACAGTGGATAGACGGTCCGAGAATTTCTAAGTCGAAGGTCGCGGAGGCCAGACATATGCTGAAAGATTCGCATCACAAACGAGAGACGTGGATCGACGGGCCGATGCAACTGACCAGCGCGCCGGCGCTGCAACTGCACGCTCATCAGCATGCATCTTCCGGTTACGGTTTCATGGACAGTCACAAGAAGAGCATGATTAGAAAATGGGTGGAAAATCAATCGTCGCAGATACAGCGGACGAAGCACGCCGGCCCGCGACTCGACTCTTCCAAGATGTCCTCCGGTCAGTCGTCCGGCCAGTTTAAAGAATTGACGCAGTTCAAAACCTGCGGCGGGATGGAGGACGACGATACATCATTGTCTACAGCGGAGAGCGATAGCTTGAAAGCGAACGAGATCGAGGATATAACCGAAAAATTGAGCGCCAAGCTGAATCTACTTAACGTTAAGTCCAATACGGATTCAGGGTTAGATTTGACGGCGAGCCCGGTGATGGATGACAGTGTCGAAAAGGGGAAGCTCGATCTACCGGATGACGAAGACGACGATGAAGAAATCGTCGTACCTCCGCCGTTACCGTTGATCGAACCACTCAGTAACGGAGTAAGCCGGGAAGTCTCCATGGAAAGTTTGAATCTGTCACATAAAGATATCGTTCTACCTTCGAGGCATTCCTTGTCCTCGGAGGACGAGATTTTAGAGATTGTTGAAGTGGAAGATTTGGAACCAGTACCCATGCAGGATTCGTGTTTACAAGTGACTGAAGAAGACATCGCGCTATGTATGGGTGAAAATCCTCTGCCTGAGAGCGATCAAGAAGAACATCCTTTAAGAATTCTTAGCCAAGAAAATCTCACTGTTGTGTCAACTTTCACGGGTGAGTAAATTTTCGTTTATGCAGAATACTCAGTTTTCTAAACGCTCATTATATTTCAATATTAATTATAATGTAGAATAAATATTTATATATAAAGCTTTTTTTTAATTTACGAAGGCTGACTAGTTTGTTTTATTATAATTTATTATAGTTATACGTTCTCTTGTACCCTCTCTCTATCTCGCTCTTTGGATCAAGATAGAACAATTCCTGTAAAAAATTTTTTTTTAATCATACAATCACATTCAACTTTTGTTTCGCCGCGATTACTTTTGTCACAAAAACTTCAATAAATTTCTATAAAAGCTATTCACCGCATCGTCTCGAAATCGATTTGTTGATCCTGAAAACGTGTAATAGACCATGCGGTAGAAAACAATAATTCACTTCTCTCGAAGACAGAGACTCCGATATAATTATATGTCATTGCGTCCCCTTCTACAAACCAAAGCGGACAGCTGTCTCATAGTTCCGCTATTTTCCCCCGTCGTTCTTATCCGGCGACTTCTTGCACGATAAGATATAAACTTGAACGGACGAAAAAGGTACGAGATAGAAAAATAATTTCCAGACTCCATGTCAGTGATGTCAGACACGGAGAGATACAGACCGCATTATCCGCCGCCGGTTGGCGCCGGTGTTCTACCTAGGCCATACTTCGACCACGAAGACTTTCTCGAGCAAGAGACCAGGCACAAGTTCGATCAGCTGGCCCGCCTCCACGAGCTCTACCAAAGCAAACTCGCTCTCGCCAACGTTTCCAACTCCGTGACTTACCAGAGAGAAAACTCTTCCACTGTCAACGTACGAGATGCTCCATGTAAGTTTTCGCGATTGGAGACTCGATCAATTCTGTAGACAGCAAAAACCAGACAGATTTCTCTCTTTTACCGCTACATTGAATTCTCTCAAGAGACGAACGTTGTTTATCTCTACAAGATTACTCACGTATCAAGCTGTGTAATTCCTCACAATATTCGATCAACGCGTCGCAATTGAAAGCGATTTCCAAATCTAAGATTTTGATTCACTTTTAAATTCGCGTAAACAACAGTGCTTTATTTTATAAATCCATTCTCTTATGTTTTCTCTATTAATAATTGAAAAAATACGAAACAAGATACAACAGAATTACGATAATCGAAATAAAAAATTAAAGCCGCGAGATCTGCCGCTTGATTAAAAATAAAACATCATTTTCAAAAGTAGAGTAATAGATTTTAATCAAGACAGCCAGCAATCTGCGGTCTACATCCAGTATAACATTAATGCAGGACAAATTCCAGCAGCGACCGTCTTCCGTCCGCCGTCTCGCTGTCAATCCTTGTCCCTTTCGGATGTCTTATTCAACGACAACGCGAGCAATCACGGCAGCATCTACAGTGAACCCGCGTACATAGCCGGCAAGCCCGATCAAGAAAAGATCTGCGATAATTGTCGCCAGAGCATGTCCAGGCCCGCCACGGCCTCTTATTGGTATCCCAGTAGCGTCGCCCATCTCGCCAGTCCTAGAAGGTACTGCGGCAAGTTGGGTGACTGCAATATCTCCAATCTGAGGCATCCGGATGGCGCTTCGAATCCCAACCTAAAGGAGGAGATCGAAAGGATACCCGGAAACGGAGCATCCGGCTCGGATCCCGAGGAAGAATATATAGAGGCGAAGAAGCTATTCACGGCTGCCGAGAGGTCCGAGAGAACGGTAACAGGAAAATCCGACATCGAAGAGGATCTAAAGATTCAAGGTACGAACAGACGCTAAAATTTAAAAAAAACGCTTTCAGTTTTTTTTTTAATGCCTTTACGATATTTTTATAAAAATTTACGTTGATTGAAAATCGATAGAAAGTTCAATCATAGAATCTAATTCTTGATTTAAATAATAGAAATATTGAATTGCACGTTAGAATAAATTTTTACCTAAAAATTAATAAATTTGTCGATATAAATTAGCGCACTGTTCTGATATTAAAGATAATAAAAATAACATTTTTATATTTTATATTTCAGGCGGCACCTCCTTGCAATTATCGATGCCATCTCCGGCGCCATCCTCTGGACGAATGCAACGCAAGATTCTTAGCCTCGGCTCCTCGTTCGGTCTCAATAAGGAGAGCTCCGATTCCGGTGCGGATACAACGCCGCGAGCGGCTAAATTATCACCGGCTACATTGTCCAGACATCGTGCCGAGAGCTCTGGTTACGACAGTATCGTTAGAGACAGCGAGACGAGCAGCATCGCTAGCGACTCGTCCCGACAAACCGGAGCGTTACAGGAACATCAAGGTAATCGTCAAGTATTTTTCGACTATTCATATTTCTTGAAAAAGCGTGTCGATCGATATCAAAATTATTCATTACGCTAATAAGGCAGTTAAAAAAAATAATCTATACTGGGATCGATATATATTTAAAAAAAAACTTATGTGAAATTAAAATATAAAAAAAAATTTCAGAGAAATCTATTCTTTTTTTTTTTTTTTTTTTTTTTTATGTAGTTAGTCGATTTTTTCAGTTCGCTTCGCATGGAAATTTCGCCCCATCTCGCTCCTTATTTACCCTGTCATGATCTAATGCTCAACTCTTTCTAAGACTATCTAACATTTGACTCCAGTCAAGTATGCAAAGCACGAAAATCTTGTCGGAAGCGCCTTCATATTCCTAGAAAAAGATACGCAAGCTCTCTAAAACGATCCCACCGTACGGTGATTCTCCTCAGGTGGCGCGCTGGGGGTTCTAACTTCGACGTTGTGCGGGTGTTTCAGCGGTGGAACAGCGGGCGGCAGGGTACGAGCTTCGGCGGTCGCGGGCCCACTGCCGGGCTCAACCGGGGCCGCCCGCGGCGTCGGCGATTCTCGCGTATACAGGCGAGGACGTAGACATCCTGGACAGACGCGCGCGGGTGCGCTCGAATCCACGTGGAACGATGTCCAGGATACACAGCCTGCGCCTGCGCCAGCGCCTTCTTAGGCTGGAGCTACGCGATGCCAAAAGACGCCTAATGGTGCCCGACACTCGCTGGGACTATAATTGTAAGTATCGGCTTTCCCGTGATATGCAAATCAGCAGCAGATTCGAATATTACGTACAGATATATATTAATTTTTTTCTCCCATTGCATTACTTGTTGTAAAAGAAAATGTGTGTATCCACAATTTTTTAATATAATCTGACATTATTTATACATAAACAATTAAAAATCTTAAATAATTATGCGAGCAATTGATTTCATTAAATTTACTGTAACATATATAATTTAATAGTTTAATCATTCATATAAATATATGTATATATGTTCAAATAAATTTGATTTAATAATGAATATTATTATGTTCACAATTCTAATAATGTTTTTACATATAAACTCACACACACATATGTATAATTTTATAATATATGTATAATAAACTCTGATCAGTGATATGTACATATCATTACGATCATATCTGATTTTAAAAATAGTGTACGTGGAGGACAGTATGGACTGGCGAAATCCGTCATTTTTGGAAGCTCTGACGGTCGAGACATGCATTCTACAGAAAAGAGTGGAGGCCTGTAAGAGTCACGTTCTTCTGGTCACCTGCTTCGACTCCTGTCCTCAGCAGCCGACAACGGCCGAGATTAAAATCACCTAACGTAGACTTAGATCAGCACGCACGACCGCGTGTTGATCACCAATCCCGCCCATCCACCTACGAATTTAATCGTTGAAACGAGACGAGCGAGGTCGCCGAATAAAATGGAATAAATTAGCAAAGAATGGCGTCGATGTCGCTCGACTCCGTCCAGTAGTTGTTAAATGATATATTGTGGTCACCGTCATCGTCATCGTATATCGTCGCTATTGTTAAACCTAAAACGGTACTAGCAAGATTAAACGAGAAATAAAGGAAAACCTAATAAAGTCTCACCGAAATATCGCACACGTACACGCACACGCACGTGTCTTATCGAAGTTATATTATAGAGTTTTAACGAAAAATGTATTCGTGTTAGAGATTTCGCAATTGTTTCAGTTTCAACGATGTTTCTCAGGATACAGGAAGAAGATGTTAAGTAATTCTTCGCGTGTTATTATAGCGACACGAGTAAGTAAGTCAGTTTCGAGAATAATGTTCGTGCCGCGTTTACATTGGCATTAATTGTTTTATGTACATGAGAGTTGATACTTTGTTTTCACATTCTATTATTAATCAAAGTCATTTAAAATATTATCGCTGCCATACTGTCTGACTGATGCCATTAATAATTTATAAGAGATAGATTTCCGACCTAAAAAGACTGCCGGCCAACCGGCCAAACTGCGTATTCATCGAAAACAGCGACAAACAAAACAAGCGAATAAAACTATTATCGCGATAAACTAGAGGTATTTATCTCAATAGAAAAAATACGACACGCGTCCATATTCGTGATCGAATCAATTAACCGCGAATTAAAAGATAATCGAATAAAAATCGAGAAAACCGATCATAAACGATATCGCAAATATTAGCTATAATAACACAAACAATCTCGATTATACATTATCAACAATTGAGATCGTCTACAATCTAGAGAGCAGCGAGTGGCTAAATTTTCCTTTCTCTATGATATCGTTATGATTCAGGAAGAGAGAAGAAATTCGGCCATGCTAGTTAATTTAGATTGTCGATGGAAATGGTTTCGTAACAATAGAAGTTAGATGTTAGAAGTAAAATGCAAATTTTTTCATTAAAATATCGAGCTTCAATTTTGAGGGGAAGCCAAACGAAAGCAATGGGAAATTTGCCGTGGGTGAACGAGCAACGCACTGCCAAAATAGTGCAAAAAGAAATCTTTTATACCATTAACGATCAATCGATTAACGAAATGCGCCGTACGTAATGTATTTAATACACGCACGTTAATTCATGGTATTATCGTAGCTTTAATCGTTATCAGCAGTTACCGCACTTCGTAGGGTTCTGTAACTCACTTAGAAAGACGCGAAAGAGAGAATGATAGAAAGAAAAAAGCGGAAAAAGGAACAGATTGAATGAAAGAAAGAAAGAAAAAACGTGCGCACGAAAGAAAAGGAAGAGAGATGAGAATAAGAATAAACCGTAAACTTTTGCTAATCGTAAAAAACGTTCGCGCGAGTGCTATTGAAACTTATAAAAAAAAGGGGAGAGAAATAGGAGAAAGAGAAAAAAGAGAGAGAGAGAGAGAGAAGGAAAAAGAAATGAGAAGCCCAATTCTCTCATTTCCGATGTGAGAATGTTATGCGAAGAGAGGACGCGAAGAGGATATAAGCATAGGCGGGGATAAAGTCGGGAAGAATAAAAATAGATGGCATAAAAATAAATCGGCATGGGAGTAATGTAGAGGAGGAGAGAGAAAGGGCAGAAACAGAGATATTCTAGTTTTCTGATGCGTGTCGTGAGGGACCGATATCGATGGAAAAAACACGACTCGTTTTTCTCGTCCTAAACTGTTATACCTTGAAGTTTATGCATGATACACACGTATATGTATATGAATATATGTATAAGCACACACGCATACAGAAACATATACACACAATGCAAAACAATATTGTACGTGAGTACCGTGAGTGAAAGACGTACACGCGACTGATTATCACAAGTATATATAGACACGTATTTACATTTTGTATTTAGCATTAAATTCGAGCATCTCAAATATTGAGTTTTCAAAGTGTAATATCTCTAATATAAAATTTTGAGATCGCACAGCGAAAATCGCTGCAGACCAAAATATTCGATAGCCGCATTTAGCGTTAAACACGAGATGTAAATGCGAAGGCACAAACGTCCTTTTCACAGATTCGTGGAACGGTATAAGATTGCCAAGTGACTCCTTCGTGTTGCCCTGCGCTAATTAAAGAGATCCTATACATTCGTTTCTCCGTATCTCGCTCATCAACGATCAAAGATGAGTTTGCCGCTGAAATCGTCGTCATTGCTTTATCTGTCGGTTCCTTCTCTTATTAATAATAAATGTTCGATATATCTTGTTGATTGTTTATCGCAACAAAATAACGATTTTTCGTGTTGATCGATTATTCAAATTGTCGCGATCATCTACGATAATTATTGTACGTATGTTGCATTTGCTAATCTTCCCAAGAAAATTATATCAAGAAAGTGAATTTTCATTTCCGTCTTTTCGAAAATCACGGGAAATATCTTTATGGTTTGTCGCGTCTAACGTTAAAATTCGTGCATGTAATATATTTGTTTACTTATCGTCGCGCGTGTCCTGATTCAATCTGAGTTAAAAACATTGCCAAGAGCGTTTCAGTCCGTCTGCCGTGAATACAACAGTAATAATAACGAATTATAGTGATAGTAATTATTAATTGTAACTAGCGATCTACTTCCACTTTCCGCCGGAAAACATGCGTTTCTGTACCATAGTACTTGTATGATATTTATATTTTATATGTACAAATTAGTCATGTAATTTCTTGTAATAAAGATCAATTTACAACGTGCATCCCGAATTGTCTCTATTCCAGATATCCTTATCAAATATCAGCTGTCATATATGTAAATCATTAATTATTTTTATTATCATAATTATCCTTTGTTTCAATTGTTAAAAAAAAAAAATGCAAGAAAAGATTACGTACATCTTCTCACTTCTGACGATGTAATGTAATATAGAATGACTCTCAAATTCATTATTTTTCAAAGTAACTTATGTCATTTCCAAAATAAGCGATTCACATACCGTCATACACTAAACGAGCGCAAGAAGAAGAGCGACCCTGACGAATTCCTGAGACAATTTATTGGGATGTTCTAGGCCGCGACGCAATTCTAGGCGGCGTATGCGAATGTAGGTCCACCTCCGTTTATCTGTCGACGTTTATACTTTGTTTCACAACGTAAAACCGCACGCGATTTCGCGTAGAAAACGGCCACAATGTTCCAGATGAATCGCGTACCGTCTCGGAGAAATTGCGTGACAGATGATCGAGTGTAATAATAGAATACGTAAAAAATGTGAAGCTCTCTATCAACAAAAATCGGAGCAATTTTTAAATGTCAATTTACCTTAATAGCTGATGCGCAACAAGCTGACTAGTTATTGCAATAACGTCATGTTTTTTTATAATGATAAAATTACGATGAGTAAATGACTATTTTTAATGATTATGTTTCTATAATATTAAGTTAAAGTTAAATGCATTAAAAACTCAAAATTACGGTAAAAATATAAAATATAACGTAAGAAATATTTTATGGATTAAAAACAAATAAAAATCTACATGAAATCTATCGATTTTAAATGCAGAACGCGATGCAGTCGGAATACAAAGTAATGGCTCGAAAATCATTGCGTCAGCAATGTCAGCCAATTTAGCCACGGGATGCATAACCTTGCAGCTCAATTATCTCAGTCACTGATAAAATACGATTATGGTCGCAATTAAATCCTTAAAATCCACACGTGCTGATTACAATATGTATCACGTAATAGCGTAAATCTCGGCATTTGAATAAATCGTCCAAAGATAAAATTGAATCAACTATAATTTCACATGCGGAAAAAATACGTGGCATAAATGCATGGCTATTGTTAATTTAAATGATGATAATGCTTTTATCGTGCGTTTTCACATGCACATACATAAAAAAGATGTACAAAGATAATAACGTAATAATATAATAAATATTTCTGTATATATATAAGAATTGTTTTAAGATATACTAATGATTATTAAAGAGATAGATTCGTAAATAAAACGCTGCTCTCAAAAAAATCTGTAATACTTGCAGTTTTTACTTTAAATAATAAATTATAATGTGCATGTGGTCACACGAATGTGATTTCTGTATTCACCTCTATGAGATTGGATAAACGTCTTTCATCATTTATTCAATATAATTAAACTTCTCAAAAATTTCTTTCAATCAACATGGAAATTAAATCCAATATAATATTTTACGTCATATAAAAAAATATTAAAAAATTCGTCAAATTCATTAATTTACTCCGATCACCGATATACTTGCGGAGCGAAAGGACATCATCACGTGAAATGATCATTGTATAGCACGAATAATTTACAGATAGAAAAAGAGAAAAGTTGAAGAATTACATTCGAGATACATTCAATTGCACGTTTAGTTTATTAGCGGCGGGATCAAAGCGATGTCACAAAATTATCGGCGAGCGCGGGAAGTGAGCGTGACGTTTTATATATTCGGAACGATCGCGCCGGTCGAGGAGTAGCGGCGGGCAAAGACGATTAGGGGGCGGCAAGAGAAGAGACGTCGTGGCCAAGTCGAACAGCAGTAGCGTTAAGGCAGTCCGAGAGAATGGCTCGCGGCGCAGTACGCTGGAGCGTCCTGCTGGGCCTCGCGCTGGCCCTAATCGCGCCCTACACCGCTGCCCTGTCCAAAAACGATTTATATCAATACGCGGCACCGGGTTCCTTGGTCCTCGAAAGCGACCCGAACCGGATGCTGATATCCGCGGAGGCAATCCTCAAAACTCCTATCGTTTTCTACGATAAAATCTACAACTCCATATTCGTGAGTACCGATAGCGATTTTTTTCTTAGATATTGTAATTTCTTCAATGATGCAATTTTTCGATCGAATGCTTGTTCATATTAAAATAAATATTCAGATGGCAAAATATCTTTTGTGTTATGAATTTAAAGAATATAAATTTATATTATATTTATATAAATTTTTATTGATATTACTGATGTGTGTAGTGAAAAGAAGTCTTGTTCTTCATTCGTTAATATAGCGATAGCGAGAAATGTAAAAAAAGAATTACAAATTGAATTAACCCTGTAATAAATTAATTTTAATCTACCAATCATAATCAGCGTACGAACTAATTGCATACAAATATATCGAAAGAATAAAACAAGAATGTACATAATGGACGATTTGTCTTTTAAACAAATAAGAATGTAGAAGAAAAAATCTTTTTTCATAATTATCATATCTTAATTATAAGATATGAACACAATTCTTAATTTAATAATTACGTTATACGATATCATAATCTCTCTAAGATCGTATTCTGCCTCTTGCAAATGCAAATTTTTTAAGAAACAGAAAATTACTAAAATCACAGTAATAATGCTTACTTATAAACAAATATATAATTTAGATTAAAAATTTCATTACATATTAACACAAAATCTGCTATTTATATTTGCAAATATGTGGGTACGCAATGAAGTTATTATTAGATAGTCTGCTATTTTTGTATTTATGCTTGTGTAAACTGATCGTCAGTGGAAAACATCGTTCGAGAAAAACGCAAATATTCTTGATAACTTGTTGCAAATCTGTGTATTATGTGTATGTGAATAATATTTTTGCAACTATTATTTACAACTAGATAATTTTCTTAATATGATAAATCATTTTATTCTATTCTTACCTTGTATTAATTTGTTTTCTTTGCCATGATTCTCCAAGAAGCTTTGCTCCTAAAACATAAAATAAACTTGGTTAGTAAAAATTTTATAGAAAATCATTATTTGTCACAATTTTTTAAATTTATTATAATACAAAATTATAAGAACATCGCATTCCTTTCATTATAAATTAAAATTCCGTTGAATTAAAGTAAGAATAAAATAAAAACCAAAATTTGGTCGCCTGCTTATGTGTTTTGTTAATTTTAATGTTTTTTAAAAAACAATTTCATGATTATGTCAAATTTACAACTAAAAAAGATTCATCTGAATTCACCAAATTTATTAATAAGAAAGAACATTAAAAAATGCACAATGTCTATCTATCCTATTTCTTTCCATGAAACAAAAAGTGAAAAAATTTCTACGGACATTTCACAAATTCATTAATAAGAGGAGCAAGAATGATGTTACACACTTTACAGTATCTACTTGTCCTATCTTTCTTTACGAGGCTAGAAAAAGTTAGAAATTTTTTCTGGCCATCTCATAGATTAGAAAACTTAGCGTAGTTTCTCCACGTGACGAACTTCAATTTACGACCCGGTCTAGAAAAAGTTCCGAGACGGCGAGACGAGCGGCTAGGCAGTGCGGCCGGCGTAATTCTTCGGTTAATATCAATTTGTCGCGCGGTAGACAATGAGTCCCGCGCGCGCGTTTGGTCATTCTCTCAATTCGACTCGCGGTCTAATCCGGTCAACATCTTCTGGCATGACACGAATTCATTGCGCTCTTGCGATGACGAACGAGAGTGACTCTCTAGGCGGCACAATCGCGCTTAATTGCGACGGACGCGCTGCCGCGCTGCTCATCGCGTACAATTTACGAGAGCCTGTTAATTTGTATGAATGAACGAGCGAGAGCGGCGCGCGAACCGGAAGACGATGCAACGCCCATCCAGACGAGCCAAGACGCGATAAGATTCCGGTAGTGTTTGCACGCCGAAAGATCGGCCGTAGGCGAAAGCGTATTTCGAGGAAGTGCGCGTTGCAGGAACACAAGAGAGTGATCACAGAAGGTTCCTCCACAATTTGAAAAAGCTTCGAATATGTTAAAGAAATTAAAAAAAAAAAATAAAAAACATGTATTTTTTAAATTTAAACTATATAATTTTTTATGATTGCGGCGATTTTTCTAGCTTTGTACATTACATAGTAAAATATGATTGAAATTATAAAACATGTAAAAATAACTAAAAGCATTTCATAATCGTATATATATATTTATATTTTTGCGAAATATTCACTCAAATGGGTAAATATGACGAAATAGCTTCTAAAACTTGTCTGTTTGCTTAAACATCCATTAGGATGTCTCTTATTTTAAGCTATTCTACGACGTATCCGAAGGCCATCAAAAACGCAGAGACAATTCCGGCCGTTTTCTTGTTAGCTACGAGAAAGATATTTAAGTCTTGATATACGCACTTGAGTCATCGCGCAAACACAGACAGCAGAATGATTAAATAACCGTAGAAACCGGCAACGATTAGAAAAGTCCGCAGGACACGTGTGATCTAACTTTTCCGCGAATCATTGTACTACTGCGGAGGCGGCGAATATGAATGAACATTAATTATGGGCTAATCTCGCGCAGATTAAAGCGAAGGATTCATCTCCCCGAAGCAATTTATTGCGAATCAAGGTGCATGAGCTCATGCGTGGAAGCGTTTATGCATTACGCCTCCGCGTAGAGCGAACCAATGTTATCAACATTTTCTCGAGTGGAAAATAGTTTTCCTATTGAGACTATACAACCTTGACTAACAGCATGGAGTATCTTTAATAAACTATGATCAATCTACATACATATATATCTAAAAGAATACTATCTCCATGAAATATTTAAAAATATATGTGTGTGTATGAGTAAATATCAAAATATATGATTATATCTGCTATTAAAATGTATGAAGAATTAACTGTATGTTTTTTTTTTTAAATTCATGACAAGATTACATGTTGGCAAAGCAATTTAGTGATAATATTCTATATATTCCATTTTATTTTACATTTTATAATATTCCATTTCAAGCAAGATTATACGCGATAGGAGCTTTTAAAATTCAATACCAAAATTCATTTTCGGATTGGGTATGACTTTCGCAGTCGCCGTTGTCAAAGCATGGCATTAGAGCCATGATCCGCCGTGATCCGTTCCATTCATCGTGTTCCGTCAATAATTCAAGCGTCCGCAAAATCATCGTCGCATTATTGATGACGTGCGTACGTGCGCCTCGCTTAGGGACGCGCGTCGAGTCGAATCACACGCAGAAACTCGGCCGGCTAGTCAGCCGGACGGGCGTAAAGTATAATGATGGATAATTGTGAGAGACTAGACGGATTAAGAGCCTAGAATGGGAGATTCGATTTTGCAGGTATTGCAACAATAAGGGTACCATAAGCGTATCTTTTTATATTACTGTAACACACGTGCAATATAAGCGCGCAGCATAGCATTACATGCATTTTTCGTATATCGAAAGATAGAACCCAAGAATTCAAAAAATTCACGATGTTATTCTTCCCTTTTTCAACGTAAAAATAAAAGCTAAGCGCCATAAATATGACAGAAAAAAAACCGATTTTTAATTTAGAACCTAATATGTGTTCAAATTGTATCTAATTATATGTTTTTGACGTACATATATTTATTTTAAATGGCTTTGTAGTCTCAATTTATTTATTGTTATCCAAAAAAAGAATGTTATAATAATCTATATATATTTAAGAGTATACTAATAGAAATAAAAAATTATAATCACTGCACTATTCTGCAAACAAATACACATTCACTTGGCTATATCGATCGTAAGAGACGCGATTTAATATCACGAGATTACAAATATGTAAATACCTGCCATTAATCTTGATAACTTTTCACATTAGTTAAGTTGCACGAGAGGAAAAATCATACTGATGTGTTTTCTGCACCTGTGTCTTTATGAGAGCCGTACACGTTGTAAAAATATTCACGCGGTCCATAAAACTAACATTATTTAATTCTTTGTAAAAATATCACATTAAAAATAAATTTTATACCTCTGTATTATTCTCTTCATAATGAAAAAAACTTCTCTTGCTATACTCAATCAAGTGCTCGCATCAAGATAGAGTGTAATACGACAGCCAGTCTGCGATGCAACCGCTGTATGCAATTAGCTTTTTCCCACATTATTTAGTGGAAGATTAGTGGGAGGAATTGCGAAATTCCGCTCGCGATTCTTCTGGATCGACCATGTTGTCGGCTTCGTCATCGCCGGTAAAGTTCAATTAGACTCGGCACGAAATTCTCAATTAATTTCATTATCGTTTCTTCCGTTTCTCCGAGTTTCCTTTCTACCAACTTCCGATATTGCCACATATCTTGTCATAACCTTGTAATTATCCATAGCTATGAAAATTCAATGTTTGTGGTTTCGTAAAAGAGCTGCTATACTCGTTTTTTACGAATATAATTTCAGTTTTCGCTCGCCTTTCTCAACTTGGCGCGCATGTTTAGTAGGCAGACAGACATCTTTGTAGGCGTGCAATTTGTTGGAAATGTCGAGGAAAGCGAGCATGCCATGTAAAACTAGACAAGTGTAATTCAAGCACGCAGAGACTTCCGCATGCAAACGCAAAAGCAGACGGCAGCGAACTAATTGACGAGAATTTTGCTTCATGCGTTATAACAGAAATTATGTACGAATTTAGAAATTTCACAAAAGTTTCGTCAGTTTCATAAATCATTCAAAAATAATATAATATAATCCAACAATAATCAGCGGTTTACTGCACTATTTTTTGCAAAGTATTCTGCAAAATATTTTTCTCATATATAAATTCAGATATATAAAAAAGAATCTCTTAAAAAAAATTATTTCCGCCGGCTACTTCGTGTGTAACAAGTCATAGATACGTATTTCAAAATAGAATTTTAGATAATTTATCAGCAGAACAAACTGTACGCATAACTTCTTAAAATGGTTATCTACCCTAAAAAAGATCGGAACAACCTTTTGCTTTTTAAAAACTTATTAATAGAAAATTAGTAATTTCTCATAATTTATATCATTAATAAAAATAAAAAAGATAAAAGTTGAAATAGATTTATACAAAAAGAAATGCCCGAAAAGAACTTGTGCATCAGGCGATTCAAGAGAGCTAGTTCCGACATTCCAATAGAGCGCTTCCTCGGTGGACTCTTAGTGCATTATCATTATTATGCAGGCCCAGGTCAGTGACAAATCGCGATTGGCATAGATGTATATCGCGACGTATCCACGAACGAAGACGGTCTACTTAGAGGACCTGCCTACACAACAATCATCTTCATTTCGTCGTTTATCGTCGACGATTCGTAGTCATCAAAATGATTGCGACCGATTGCGCGATCGCGTTAGCGCGTGCGGCATGCGTTACCGAAACCATCACCGCACCATCTCTCTCGCCGTCATCGTTGATTCGCAGCTGCTACTATGTTACGACAATTGCGCGTGCACCAAGATTAGCGGCTAACATCGAAGTCCCGCGATTAGCATACGAATTCGACGCATTCATCCCGAGATACTGCGCGAATGAGGCGTTCAACAGCGCTTATGTATCATCGAAATGCACCATGGAAATTCATTTTAACGAATGGTAGATAATGGAAATATTTTCGATCACAAGTTGTTATGGAAATCACAAATTATTCTGCATTTTTTCTCGCAGATAATACGTGCCGTGACAAATCAGCTGTTTTCGACAATAAATTCTTTACCAAAAATGGAAAATCTATAAATAACGCATTCTAATTATAAGTCACATTTCTTTGTCTCGTTTTGAGATAATATAATTTATAGCCTCTATGCTATATCATTTCATAATTGGTAACATGATTTTTTATATATTTGTATGTACTATACAATATACACAATAAATAAATAAATATCAGACAAAAATTTTCAAACATTCGTAAAAAATTGTAAAATAATATAACTTTAAGAAAATGAAAAGTAAAATATAATTAAAAAACTTAAGTTTAAAACATTATAAAGTAATTGTAATTATTAACCTGCAACTTTAATAAAATGTTGTCAATATTTTATCTCAATGATATACATATATAGCAAAAAATATGTATACAATACATATCAATTACGAGATGATTCCCGATAGAAACTTAAGTTTAAAACATTATAAAGTAATTGTAATTATTAACCTGCAACTTTAATAAAATGTTGTCAATATTTTATCTCAATGATATACATATATAGCAAAAAATATGTATACAATACATATCAATTACGAGATGATTCCCGATAGAGAAAAAAAAAAAAAGAATCGAGTGATTTTCTCAGTAAAAAGTTCCGCATTCGATATTGAAATATTCGTCGATGTGAGAACCGATCTCAAATTATTTCTGTTGAAACACTAGAACGTTATCGACGGTATCAGGAAGAGAGACGGCAGCCAGCACGGATTCCTCCTATTACTTCCACAAGCCATATTATCTATTTCCACCGTTTTCTCCCGCTATTCACCACATGTGTGTGCGTGTGTGTCATCGGCTCGGCTCTGACCTACGACCTCGGAGATAGCCTCGGCGGTGATAGCGGACCGAACTTTCCCACTAGCTGACTTACGCGAATGTCAAAATGTCCGATCATATAGACAGGCTTCGATGAGACTATCAATACTGGTTTGACATCTCCAGGCATCGATTATTGGACGCCTCGATGACCGATACTGATTATCGGTCTATAAACTCGTATATATATGTATAACGGGATGAATATTGATTGGATATTGAAAATTGGAAGACTTCTGTTTGTTTGCTAATTGCAATCGTATTTAATATGCGGAAACGAGCAAATAGTATTCTGATAACTATAAAAAAATTTAAGAGACTATCTAATAGATCCATCACATATAAAAATAATATTTGCTTTCCTCTCTAAATGTAATTAAAATGATATTGATACAATTAATGAATATATGGATTAATTGATGTATGTCACTCTCTAACTAAATTTTTTAGTAAATTTTTTTTTGGCATGAATAAACAAAATCTAATTTATTCAGTATACTTTCTCAAATATTTTTAACAATAATAAATTTAATATGCGACATATTTTATAAAGAATTGTTTAATGCAATAAATAGAATTTACTTTTGTAAAAAAATTGTATTATAAAGATAATGTTAGAGTAAAATATAGTCAAAGGATCTAATTCATATCTTTAAATAGAAATAATAAATAACTACCTTGCTGCAAAACAAAATTATAAAACAAGTCTAATGCCAGAATAATGCCGCAATAGGGTTTATTACTTTGTCGCCCTAATTCGTGTCAATTCACTTGAATCGGGTCGCTTGTTAACGGTGCGCGCGACTTGAGAGAACATTAAATTCGATGCGGCGCCCGTGATATTAACCTCACGTGAAAACAATATGGGTCACTTGAGCAAACGGACATTCCAACTTGGACTTTGAATGGCGCATAAGAATTAACGTTCATGAATCAGAACGTGAGAATGAAACACGAAACCATACCGGACAGATGTAAAAATTCGTAAGAAATATTAAGCAAATGGAAATTTCTGCATTTCACACTGTTTTGAAAACTTATAGAAATATTCCATTATTTATAAATTCATTATTCTCCAATAATCTATTCTTAAAAAATCAAAAATTGATATATATATATAATAACACAAAAAAAATCTCGTAAAAGTTTCAAACTTTCGTTAAAAATAAACTATATAGCAAAACAATAGAATATACAATATCAACTGAAATTAACTGTCTTAACTCCAAGATTAATTAATATTGAAACGTGAGTAGTGTGAGTAGTGTGAGAACCACGCTAATCATTTCTTCTCAGCGCAATATTTAGGACGGTTGCACCGCTCTTTCGAGGAGTTTTAATTTTGTCTCCTTAATGACAAGCCGCTTCTTACGGAGAAACAGCTGCGGCCCGACACTGCACGAAGAGTGCATCGTGTCGAATATGAAGTAAGAGGCACGTTTGGCGCACTTCGTTTTAGCCAATTGACGAAATAAGTCAGCGGCCCCAGAAAGCATAACACGACCGCGTTGACTGCTTCTTTCCGCTTTGAAATAGTACCAAAGAATAATGAAGAATAATTAGAGTTTTACTTTTTGGAGATTAAACAAAGTTTTGCAATATAGAGAAATAATGTAAGATAATAGACTCATAGACAATAGAGAGATATAAATTACATTTAAATATCTTATATAATACAAAGATATAATTGATATATTTTTTTTTTTATTTTTAAAAGATTATATTGGGTTGAACAGAAAGTTCGTTCCGTTTTTTACTAAGAGATGAAGACCGAAAAAATGGCACAAACTTTTCGTTCAACCAATACAATAACTTTGTATTTGTAAAAATGTAAAAAATAACCGTGATTTCAGAGGTTTTTGGGCGCTAACTTTTTAAGGAAACATTTTTCGACCCATGTTTATAGGAAACTTTTGTTCGGAATTGAATTATCTTTCAAATGAGATCAAAGTGATTGTAGTTAACTCCATAGGTTTTGAAATAAACCAATTAATAACCAATTTCAAATATACTGAAAAGTGTTTTTTCAATAATATCCTGCAAATACATTTTGTCGATTTCACCGGTGATTCCTTTGTAAAGATCGCAATCTTGGCGAGATCATCGTGATTCTTTCGCAAGCTTCCGCGAACACAACATCGTCTTCTCAACGATCGCGCGTCGTTGGGTGAATGACTCCTCGATGATAGGCGCTCGCTCATTAACGTGCATGCGTATCGCGCGACTCGCGGTCAAACCAACGCAGGGTGCGGGCCTCACCCCTCTCTCTCTCCTAATTATGTCATTGTCGGATTTCTCGCTGACAGCTCGTGCCGACGATTTACCTGCTGACCCGCTGACGCCGACCAACCTTCTACCATGCGTGCATCACTAGACGGGATCTAATTTACTGACGCGTGCCGGCTGCGAGTGCGACTCTTGGCATCGAAATTAACGTAAATAATCCCGCTGCGACTAGATCAATGCACTTTGCGATCGAGAAATTCGCAGAAATTCAGAGAAAACGCGACAAACTGTACACATTTTTCGAGCGCTGCTTTAAAGAGAAAAATGCTACAACATCAATTAATTAATAAAAGCTGTAAAGCTGCATTGATAGAAGGATTAACATACATTTATTAACTTTAATGCTATATGAATATTTGTCAGACTATAATAAGTTTTGAATATGTAAAAAGTTGATTGAACGCTGTCGAATTAATTTCTCATCTCAATGTTTTCAGTATAAATAAAATCTGAGTATTTAATCGTGCTCTTATCGAGCGTGTGTAAATAAATGAAACCTTTGAAAACTTCTCTCTCTTCGCATTTTCTCTTTCTACAAATTCCCTTTATCATTTCTCTCTGTAAATGATCTAATTCTCCAATACTTCCGAACTCTCGTTAAACGTGAAATTGAAGTCGGACATAGTTACAGATCGTGTCGGTTAATGAACGTCAAAGCTGGAAAATCGGTTTCAGGTAAATGGAAATGGCGTTCTTTCATTTGCGAGGGCAATGCAAAGATTCTTCAACATCGCGTTCCCTCTTGACGATCCAGTAATCGCGCCTCTCTACACACATGTCGACACAAGAGGTTCGGGAACGGTTTATTTTAGCGAAACCGATTCTCCCGAGATTCTCGCTAGAGCCGGAGGATTGGTTCGAAGCACTTTCAAGAACGCCGTCGACTTTGTACCTACGCATGTGTTTTTGACTACCTGGGTGGATGTTGGTTATTACAACGAGCGTAACGATAAGGTAAGTTGTTCGCACATTTTGAACAAATTTTGACAGTATTTTCTCTTTCTCCCTTTGTTGTATTTAATATTAAACCTCTCTTCACTAACACAAGAAAAATAAAAAATTAATAAACATGTAATAAGCTTTCCAAGTATGTGAGCATTCATCGAGTCTCGCCTTTCAGGTGAATACTTATCAAGTCGCTATATCATCCAACGGTTCGCATTCCTTTGTTGAACTGCTATACCCGGAAAATGGTATACAGTGGATTCAGGGTGAATCGCATCCCAGCGGGCTCCCGGATGCCAAGGCGCAGGCAGGATTCATGAGCGAGGGCAAAATGTATACCCTGAGGGGCTCGGGCACCGACCAAATTCAGAATGTCGACAAGTGAGTAATGGGGAGAGCAAGGCGCCGGCTATATTCACATACGACGTATTCATGGATTTTTGTAATTGTTTTCAGGTGGTCGAATGTAAATAGGCCTGGTCAGTGGCTGTTTCGAGTCGGTCCCATCGACGAAGGCGAAAATATAAAGGTTCCCGACAATATCGAAGGTAATACGAAAAAATTCTAAGTAATCATATAATATAAAAAAAATATTTAAAAAATATACAATACTCTTATTTATAAAAAAAAAAAATATTGAAAACATTATATACGTTTATATAACGAAACTAAAGATGATTTTATTTTCTATCTCACGAATATATTGTAACTTGTGTAAATTATGCGCGCAAATTAAATATTACTCTTGCATCTCATGACGTTGATTATAACTAATAAACGCTCTTTAGACACTATGACTATGCATCAAGCGGCCAGCTGCAGGACCGGCGCCACTACTTGTCATAGCAAAGCGACCTGCATCGATTACGAGATCGGATTCTGCTGCAGCTGCAAGCAGGGCTATTTCGGCAACGGAAAATCCTGCCAGCCAAACGGTGAGTTATTTATCAATGGCAATTGTGTCGAAAACTCGCGTTGCGAGATAAGTTCGAGCTAATGGCATGCAAACGCGGCCTTTGAAGTATTCTCGAAACGGGGATAAAGAAGGAATCTTTCAACGTTCCCCTCTGAACTCCCGACGACGCTCCGTCTAACGCGAACAAAGATACGCAGAAGTCGTCTCGCGTAGGACAAATAGATGCATCGCAGTAAGTAGCTGCGTTTGCTCGAGTGCGCTCTCTGATCTATTCATAGTTTACGAGACTGATTCTTACGACTTCCACGGTAACATCGTAAAGACAGCAATATACCTGGAAATGACCCGCGCGGTTCTTTGATGATCGCGTCGCGACTGTGCGCGTTGAAGTATCCCTACCAATAATTGCATAAAAAAAAGATACGACGCTTTTTTAAGAAATGCAGAAAACCGGTATTGTATCTCTCAAAATGCTATTTTGTCATTGATTTAACGATCGTGTAAGAATATAAATAAATAATTGTGTGTATAATATTTCTAAAAAATAAATATCTTGTACACACAAGAAAAATCGATTAAGCAACAATAATCATAAACTTCGTTAATGATAGAAAATTAATTTAAAATTAATAAAAATTAAATAAAGATTTAAAAATATGATGGCATTTTTACCGAAAATAATTTTTAGACGTGCCTCTTCGTGTTATTGGCCGAATATCTGGTACGCTCAACGGCGTGGAATTTCCGTCAAGAGATCTTCAATGTTACGTACAAACCAAAGATGGACGAACATATACTGCTTTGTCGAGAGTACCTCAAGAAATCGGAGCTAGTTTTCAACTTCTAGGCAATTTGGGCGGCGTGATCGGTTGGCTATTCGCGAAACCGGTTAGTGATACTGAAAACGGATACGAACTTACAGGCAAGTAACTTTATATTACGAAATCTTCAAAAATCAATTTTGATCGGATATAATATCCTAACACGTTTTGATCTCTTCATTTATTTAGAGAGAGATAGATAGAGAGAGGCAGAGAAAAAGAGAGGAGCGTACGTTATATATATTTTTAAACGAATTAATAATTAAAAGAGATATCTATTATATTGCATATATTAACGATACTGAGAAAAGCAATAAGCAACTTTACGTGAAATTTCCCTTAAAAAAAAATTGAAAGAAAAAGATCTCTAACAAACACGAACATTTCGGTATTGCATTATATTAATTTATGAGATTTATAAAATTTACAAGATTGTCAAACGCGATAGTGTTTACGAATAAACAGTTATTTATATGAGCGTGTTCCACGCACAGGTGGTTTATTTAATCACACGGCGGAGCTAGTCTTCCCATCAACCGGCGACAAAGTGACGATACGCAGCAATTATCTCGGATTGGACGTCTTCGGTCAACTAAAGATGGAAGCGGACATCGAAGGTACGGTGCCGCATCTCGAAAGGGACACCAAAGTGGACTATGGTGATTACGACGAGCTCTACACTCGCGCCCAACCGGGGTTAATCCGTGCTCAAAGCGAGCGTACTTGCAAACTACTACACGGTAGCGGAGACGAGCGAGAAATCGCCTTCACGTTGGATCAAATAATTAGCTATCAGGAATGTCCGTACGGTATCTTCGATCCCGAAGATGACACGACCAGATTAAAGTTTTTCAGAGGCATCACTACTTACGAGGCCACCGAGGGTATCATACGATTTGCCGTCAACACCAAGGTAACGCCTCTTGAGGAAGAGGATCCGTGTATTCAAGGACGACAGACTTGCGGTGATCACAGCTCCTGCGTGGTCGATGGGGATAGTTTCAAATGTATATGCAATGCAGGGTAAATATCAATTTTTTTTTTATAAGATTAATTTATAAAAAAAATCTTAATATCGTAGATATTCGAAAAAAGGTCTGTTTTTGAATATGTGTGATATATCTTCGTAAAAATATATTATCTCAATCTTAGCGTCAATGTATGCGCATTACATTATAATTCTTTAACTAAATATCAATGATACTACATTTATTATATTGCTCGTTACGAAGGTATCAGTATCTATACGAGGAGGATGGCAGTGCGATTTGCGTAGACGTGAACGAATGCACGGCCGGTAATCACATGTGTTCTCTGGACGCTCAATGCGTTAATCAAGAAGGCAGCTATACGTGTCAATGCAGAACTGGTTTTACTGGAGATGGTCGAGTTTGTGAAAGTAACTGCATTTGTATCATAATAAATTATTATATCTTAAAATCACAATTACCATACTCTGGTAACATTTCAATGTCGATCAAATTCTTACTGCTGATAGCGACAAAAATAATTTTAACATCTGATAATACTTTCGGTTAAATTCTATTTTAAAATTAATTCCAATTTTGAAGATATTTAAAAATATATTTCGAGAATAAAATATTCGTATGTAAAATATTAAATTAAAATAATATTCATATCTCTCAGTTTACAGCTATTTAATACGCGCTCAATAGTATCTAATTTTATATTCGAAAAATTTATTTATCCATAATGCAGGTTTGCCATCTTGCGAGGATATTCGCTGCGGGGATTATGAACAATGTGGAATGATCAGAGGTGCACCTACATGTGTCTGTATACCTGGTTTCGAAGAAACAGATCAAGGCTGTTATCCCGCTCAGCATGGTAAAATGTTTTCCAGATATAATAGTCTGGCAAAAAAAAACTGTTGATCATCATATTTTTGTTGACAAAGACGAAAACTACTTTTACAGTATCCTGTAACGAGGAGGATAACTGTTCGTCTTACGGGCTTTGCAGTTTTGACGGAAATAGGAAGAAGCACGTTTGCGTGTGTATGCCAGGTTACGTCGGTGAGTGGAGAGCTCAAGAAAAAATCTTTGCCTACTGTTAACAACTTAAAAAAATTTTTGAAAATGTAAAAAATATATACAAAAATCCTGCAAAATATATACGCTAATCACTAGGAATTCATATAAGTACACAAATCATTAATACCGTAAAATAATATTTTAGCGCAAGCTAAAAAACTTATCTGAATCTACATCCATTTGACAGTTCATAAGAGATGTTCACCTTTAATGCCTTTGGTTTCTCATAATTTCAATTACGTGCTGGTACCTCTTATATAATTCTTTATTCATAAGGCTATTATGTATTTCAATTTTAATGTCTTTTAAGACAATTTGACAAATAAAGTAATTAAATTAAAATTGCAAATTGAATATCTATCGCACGATAAAGCGACGAGTGATACTTTAAATACACATGACCACAATGCAATATGTAAAATGTTTTCTCGTATTTACATATGCGATTATTTACAGGTGATGGATACACGTGTTATTCCGAGTCCGATATCACCACCACAACAGACGAACCGCCGCAACCGCAATGTCTGATGCAAGTGTGTTGGTGTCCAAGCGGCTGGAAATTCCGCAACCATGCCTGCGTAAGGCAAGAGGGAGAATCCACGACAGTTGACTATCGAGACTGTAAGTTGCACGAAAAATAATAATCGGTATATCATATGACGGTTTTTGTGAAACGTGAAAGTTTTTAGCACGGATTAGATCGATGCAATTTCTCTTCGTTATTCGAATATGCATCATAGCATGCTATTGCACCTATGCATCATAGCATGTTTTGCATTGAGGGATTCTACGTATCGATAATTATTTGATTGCACAATAATAATTAATTGAGTATTAGTATAATTCTTTCTATTGAAATGTGATTGTATCATCGATTGAAGATCCTCGGAAAAAAGTAGGAATAGATCAACAGAATAAATACATTATAAAATACACTAAATTCCATTTTATTCAATTATACTAAAATATAGTTACGCCAGTGCAATAGACGTTAATAGTTTCATATCGTTATAAATTCAAATTATGACAATGTTTGTCAATGGAAGCATCACATTCAAATTTCTCCGAGGATCAATTAGATGCAAAAATTAAAACAATTTGATCAACAATTACTTACACAACAAATAATTGCATGTGAATAAATTAACATGAATAAGTTGAATTCTCCCCGCGATGCGACGATAATCAATATTTAATAACGAGCGAGATTACGATCGTTAACGCGACGAACATCGTTCGTCGATGCATAATGCGTTTTAGTATCGGCACATCCGATCCCGGAATGCTTCGACGACGTCTGTATATGTCCCATGGGATACGATTACGTCCATTTGGAACGAATTTGCGTTCCGCTGCCAGGATACCAACACGACACGATGGGTCCATCAGGATCTAACCGTACGACGCATTCACTGCTTGGCTTTAAGCTATTTATGTTCATTAATGAGTATTAAGCCTCTCTGCATACCTTTCTCTTTAACGAGCTCGTGGCGATGACGCATGCTGCTTTTATTTCCGTACTACTTTTTTAATTCCATTATATTGTGCGATATATATCTCTTATCTCACTAATTAATCAAAATGCTTGCGGGCTCGCAAATTGTGCGAGAATTAAAGTAACGTTTTTATAACAAAAACGAAATTGCAAATGATATAATGACATGTGTTAACAACAATCCCGTTTTACGAAGCTCGATGTGAATCGCGTGAAAATTTGCGAACTCACATCCCAGGTGTTTCGAAGGGCGGAAAAGGGCGAGCGAGAAAAAAACTTCTTCTACAAATAAGTGTACTCGAAGTTTTGTTATCTTCCAAGTCCTTAAACTCACTTTCAGAAACTTGCGACGCGCAACCTCTTAGTGAATAGTACGACGGAAGATTATCTCGGAAAATTAGGAAAGATGTCTGCAGCGCATGGCAGTTCCCTTAAAAAGGAACTACAAGATCAAAATATTCAAACGTGACTAAAATATTGCATATATAATTTCATTAAACTACATATTTTTTAATATTTATGTTGTAAGTAATACAGTAATATATTTCATGTTGAAATATTCATGTTACATACGAACATAAAATACGAAATAATTTATGTGATTTCAAGACAAATACTTATTTCGCTCAGAATATATTTTTGATGTTTATTCGAGATGCTTCAAGCTACATATAAAAATAGGTTTTGACATTCTGATGATAGCGATAAAAACTAATGCATCAACTTTAATATTCTCTGAACGATATTTTCTCTCAAAACTTTCATCTCACGCAATGCTGCGTTCACGAGATCAATTCTTCGCAAAGACACGAAATAAAAATAGCATGTCCCAAATAGCTGACATATCTGTCGACGAATTCAGAGAATATCGAGGCATCTTGCGAACGACTAGTAGAAAAATTGTTCAGTAATTAACTCGTAACTCTTTATCGATCAAGACGCGTTCATAACATCGCGAAATCTAGCCATTTCCATTAAATTTTTCGGTCTCGCTATCGGAATAACCAGCTATCGTCGCCGCTTGCCGTGCAATGTATCATAATCGCGCACACGCTTGTGTCCAGTATCTTGCAACGTGGTGAACAGGTGTCATCCCTACGCGCAATGCATCTACGTGACGAACACCGGCGACTACGAGTGCCGCTGCAATCCGGGATACGAGGGCGATGGTATGGAATGCACCAAGACAGGTAAAATGCATCTTGCTTTTGCATTTAGCAAGTTAATCAATAAACAACAACCAAATATTGTGTTAGAAAGCGCACTTTAAACACTCTGATATATATCATATGACATATAATTATATCATTTTTATTATTATATATATCATTTTTTAAAATTATTATTACACATGAATACTCGTAAAATATACTTTTACAAATAGAAAAATAAAAAGAATCTAAATCGCAATGCTTTTCTTTCAGTTTATGAATTGTTCATAAAATTCAAAATTAATACCTTGTTTCTCGAAACATTATAGTACGCTTTCCGATGCTCCTGCATTCAATAATTATATTTTTCCCGAGGAAAAAGTCTAAATCATAAAAGGAGTACGGAGGTATGTTAATAATAATACAACGGTACGATTTTTTTTTTTTTTCTTCTTCGCGCAGAGATATCCTGCTTGGAAGTGGACATCTGCGACCCCAATGCGTCTTGTCAGCACGAGGAACCGCTAGCAAAGTGCGTGTGCAATCCAGGATATGAAGGCGATGGAACAACATGCAGTCCTATCGGTGCTTTCATTATCCTTATATTTTTTTTTAATTTTTGTTTCACTCGTTCCGCGCACGACGCGCTTCGGAATGTCAATGCAATCTTTTCTTTTTTTCTTTCGACAATTTCCACTGGCACGCATATCGCCTCTTTTACATTTCGCATTATCATGTAAATTGAGAAACCACACACGATCATGAGGTTTGAACTTTCAGTTTGATTAGTAATTATTTCAGATAATATCAAAATCTCTCTCATACGTTGTCTTTTATATCGCGCTGTAAACTGCATAATACGAATCGAGAAATGCGCCAAACTGATATTTTCTCTGGTAACTTTCTTGTATTTTAGATGAGTGCAACAACAATTCCGAGTGCGAAGAGAATGAACGATGCACCTACCATCCCGTCAGCTCGCGCTACGAATGTACCTGCAACCCCGGATTTAGCTTAGTGGACGACCGATGCGTGCTATCAGATTGCTCGACGAATCCTTCTCAATGCCACGTCAACGCGCAGTGCGTGTCGTCCGGCGACGGTGGCTATAAATGCGTCTGCATAAGCGGCTATCACGGCGACGGTATGCGCCAATGCGTGGAGGATCATATCGGCTGTAACGTTTTGAATAACTGCGGCCGAAACGCAGTTTGCGGATACAATCAAACATCCGCGAATTTCGCCTGCATTTGTCAACCGGTGCGTACAGATGCGTATCACACGTCGCATTATATAGGATAATCAATTTTGTTATCATCGCACGTCGTACACTCGTACGTGCTACATTATGTCGAATACTACGTGAATACGTAGCGCGTACACTGCTGCTTATCAAGTCAGTTTTAAATACTAATAATTAAAAATTAGCAAAATCTGACGTACGGTTATCTGCTCAAGAGAGAGAAAGAGAGAAAGAGAGAAAGAGCAAAATAAACTTATGAATAACTGAACAAATACTTAAAAATTTTATATGATCATAAAGCAAGGTTTTTGGCAATATTATACTGTTTCTCTTGCCGTAGCTCATTTATAATGTAATCTTGCCGCCTTTAGGGTTACTACGGTGACGGTTTCACGTGCCTTCCACACACTTCGTGCAGACGCGACCCTAGCCTCTGCTCTCCGGACGCAGCATGCGTGTCGGCCGGTGAAAATCAATTTGCTTGCGTTTGCAACGAGGATTATATCGGCGATGGCGTAAACTGTAAGCGCCGGCCGAGGCACGACTCCAACTTTTTACTGGTAAACCAAGGAATGGCCACGCATCGGATACCATTCGTGCCTACGCAACAGAATCCAGGAAATCCTATCTACATAGTTTACACGCAAATGGCGATCGCCCTAGATATCGATTGCCTCGACGGCAAAGCTTACTCCAGTGATATTACTGGTAATTGCTCGTTTGTATTCAAAAGTCGATTTGCGCCGAGTTTACCAATAACATGCGTTAAAAATCAGTCTAGATTTTCATAATTGTTATTTCACAAAATAATACTACTTCTATTTTTAATAAAGAATCTAAAATTCTATTATATTTTATAATAAATGCGACAAATTGATTTTTTCTTATTGATATATTTTTTAATTGTCGACGTATTAAGAAAATAATTAAAAACGACGATAGAAAAACAAGATATTTTTTGCAATGAATAAAATCGCAATCCATCTACTGCAGGTAACAGAATAGTCGAACTATCTTACAACGGATCAATGGCACAAACATTTATTCCGAAAGTTAGCAGTCCCGAGGGATTGTCGGTCGATTGGGTCTCAAGAAACATCTTCTGGACCGATTCAGGCAAGACGACCGTCGAGGTTGCCAGTCTTGTAACAAAGAAACGCAAAGTCCTCGTTTCCGATGGACTGGTCAATCCAAGGGGAATAGCTGTTCATCCATATCGGGGGTAAGAATATATAAAAGCACAGAGAAAATCTATTTGCAAAACTTTTCAGTTCCGCGTACTTCAAAATCCTCTTCGATCTTACTGCAGTCATTCCTACATACATTATTTACACAATAACGACGATACAATTTCTTCGAGTTTCTGATTGTGAATTATTTTTTGCTGCATATTTAGAAAACACTAACTTTCTCGTATTTTCTTTTGTGTCTACAGATTCTCTTAAACAATCTCAAATTAATTTTCATTAATAAAAATAGCAAAACGCGATAAAATAATCTATATTTCAATTATTAAATTGTAAGATTATTGATGTAATTTTGTAAAGTTATTTGAATTTTTACAAAGAATATTTTTGTTTTAGGAAAATATTTTGGTCTGATTGGAATCGCGCCTCTCCAAAATTGGAGTGGGCTAATGAAGATGGTACAGACCGAGCAATCTTCCTTCAGGGTGATTACGTTAAGCTGCCAAATTCATTAAGTATTGATTGGTCGACAGATGAGCTCTGTTGGGCCGATGCTGGGACGTTTACGATAAGTAAATATAGATTTTAATCACGTGAACACATCAAAATAGCATTTTCATTAATCTTAAGCAAGAAAATGTCCAATGACGCAATATTTTATTACTGCAAAGCTGGTTATTCTAACAATAAATAATCTGACAATAATCTCTTGTTCTTAGGTTGTATCGAAATAGATAGCAAGAAGGTCAACATCGTCGCGAATGAACTTACTTATCCGTTCGGCTTGGCAATATCTCAAAATTATTACTATTGGACTGACTGGAAAACGTAAGACAATAAAGCATTCACGACAATCTACAGAAGCGATATAAAATTCCAAAGCTTTTATATATTACCCTACTTACATTGCAGAAACAAGATCGAAGTCGGCATGAAAACTAATGGCGAAAAACGCACACCGTTATCTGTTCCGCCAGGTGGAAGCGGAAAACTATATGGCATTGTGGTCGTTCCTGAGTCATGCCCCAGAAGTAAATTTCATCTCCATGAATACATTTCTTGATATAAATTTTACTAATTAAATTTTGCCAAAAATAGAATTAGCAAAACTTGTGAATGTTCATTATCTCTAAAAATAAATTCTGGGAATTTAATATATCGTCCAAAATTTCAATTAATATTTATGATTTAATATTTATTTGTTCGTGCAGTAACCAACGTATGCCAATACGATAATGGAAGGTGTAACAAGGATCAGCTATGTCTACCGGACGGCCAGGGCGGCAGGACGTGTGCGTGCGCAGACGATGCGAAAGAATCTTGCACCGACTCCCGTTATCCGTCTTAAATCCGTCCTCAATCTCTTACAGAAAAGAAGTAACGCAAAATCTTGTCTCGCGCTCGATATTAGCCGATAAGAAAGTCTCGCGCACTGTCGCTCAACATCGAACTATGATCATAAGTAACCACTAGATCAAGTGTAAATTGTGACATTAATCTTAATATTGATTAGTCTTATCGACATCCTCAAATAACATTTACTTTTGTATCTATCAGTCGCGATGCACGAACTGTACTGCGATTTGATCTTATTTAATAAAAGTGAAGGAAGCGAGCGATGCTTTACAACGTAATATTGATACGACTAATCATTTCCATCATTTCCTTCTTTTGAACTTATTCGCCTGATTAGTTTTATAATTAAATACAAAAAAGAAAAGCTCCCGAAAGAGATCTCTTATATAAAACTGCTCTACGAAGATTGAAAATTATTAGTATCATTGCGCAGTGAGAAATGAAATCCGATTAGCTACAATTACCGTATAATTTCAACCACTTTATTTCCCACATATAATATTAATGAGTTTATATAACGTTCTTAAGTAACTTTGATATTGCTATTTGCAAGAAATATGTGGAAGAAGAACAAAAACTAAATGTAAGTATAATTTTTCTTCTTAAGCCAAGTATAATTTTTCTACTTGCCGGTTGAAAATCCGCTCATCTTTTTTTTTTCTTGAAAATTTTTGCGTGATATGATAAGTTAGCATTCTCATAAGAATAGCCTATTATGTAAAAACATATTGTTCTCTTAGAAAGATGGAAGATATATATTTATTTGTTTTTTTAACACAAGATCTTGAAAAATAAAATATAGTCTCTAACATTTTCAACATCGTACAATGAATATTTTCGTGCAAGATATTTCTTTTGAGAACGTGATATTTAATCGGTTGTGGGAAAATCGAAGGGCGATACGGCGAAATGAGAATGAAAAGACGATATAAGGAAGAGATAAAACGGCGACCTCAAAAACTGACAAAGGGCTTGGTGCTCTCCAATAGATTCGTACAGAGAGCGACAAGAATCTCTTGGAAATGCGTCTCGAGAGATCTTTCTTCTAGTCGCGCCGCAATAATGGTAGAATTCTAGGAAGTAGAAGGTAGCCGTAAACGAGCGGCAATCTCTCAGTACTCGTCGGAAAATCGTATTTACAGTAGAATGCCGTATATTCCATGCGAAATAAATACAAGTGTCATTTCGTCAATGAACTCTTTTTTTAAACGATATTACGAAAACTATATTACATAACGCGAAGCCATGTAGAAAGGAGAACTTAAAATAAATCGAAAAGTCAACGCGCCATACATAAATAGCGGAAGATATCATATGACATTCTTTTAACAGCGTTCTTGTCAATATAAAAAGACATCTCCAAAAATAAAAATTATGTTTAAAAAATAATAATAAATAAAATAATTTTAAAACCATATAATAATAAAATGGCAGAGCAAGTCAATTATCTCTAGGTAGAGATAATTGACTTGCTGTGATAAAAATCGAGTAAGTTTGATAGAATTTTTGTATTTCGAAACTCTAAGAAAATACAATATAATATATATTATTTTCCACAGATAATACATCTTCTATATTTTAATTATATATATCAAGTAATGTTTACGTATTATACCAGCATTGCAACAATACAATTATCAAATAAATTCATAAAACAAAATAAAAAATATAGAGTTATTTTATATTTTAAGAGAATTTTAAATATCAAATTTTTTTAGCCTTGGGTTTTCTCAGAACTTAAATGGCATTTTTTTCTATTTTTTAGAATCTCAAAAATGTGAATATTTATTGAACATATTAATTTGGCCGCATTTCCGAATTTCATTGAAATAATAGCGCTGTTAATGTTCGAATTGATCATCGTACGCGCAACCGCAGTCTACAATCTATGCAAATAAGCATCGCTTTTAGTGATCGGCAGGCATTGAATGCCTGGGCGGATTGGAAAAAGCTGGTCACAAAGTCTGCCATCGACAGGTGCTCCATCAGACTATCGCGCTATAGCTTTTCAATAAGAATGCCCGCACTAGGCTGTAATACTCACCCACATGCGATGTTCTATCACTAGATACCTATACTTTAACCGTCGCCAACATAAACTTAAAAATATTTTGCGTATAATACGGTAAATTTTGTATGAAATACATATATATGTCTTATTATCCAATGTACGCCAGAAACTACTTCATTAGAATATTTCCTTAATTAGTAGCGATACTATAAAGATTTTTTTTCAGAATATCGTAAAAAAGAGCTAGAATAAAATTTTTAGATTGGTTCTTTCTAGATTGCTTAAGATATAATTACTTTTCAACGGTAACAAAGTTTCATTTACTGCAAGTTAACTTAATCAGGAACTTTTATTAAGAAGTTGCAATTTACAATTATCATAATATAGCTGAAATGATCTTCTAAACTTTGCCATAATTGAGAAGGAAGAAGTTAATAACGAGTTATTAATTTCGTTCCTATTATAATGTCATAAAATTGACATTCTTATAATTAAAGCTTTCCGCTAATTCCCTGTGCTAATAACTCCGGTTCTACAATTCATCTGTAATAATTTAAAAATTAAAAAAAGGAGGATATTCTATTCTTTAACTATTTTTTACTAATTTATAAATCTTATTCTTTTTTTAATTTATTTTTCTATTTCGCCAATTGCATTTTCTTCATTATGAATAATGCATAGCAAAATTATACACAATTGGATCGTTTATTATTTCATTATAAGCCTAGAAAAAAAATGATAAAAGAATAAATCAACATTTTATGTATCCGCATGGCTAAAAATATTATTAAATATTTTATCTTAGTATTTAGTATTTTTATAATTCTATTCCTTTTATGTAGCGTACAATAATATCCAAAGTTCAAACATTTAATGAAATTTCTATATTGCTTAAAAATAATTATTTCAATCAATATCTCATATATTGCACCTTATAAACGCATTTTGGCGTACCCAGTAAAAAAGCAATTATTATCTTGATTGCTTTCTTTGGAGCTTTTACGAGAGCTTTGCGCTAGTCTTAGATCTTAGAAGGATAATGCGTCGGCGGTGGGTGCGATGGAGACGGCGCCAAAAGAGGGGCGCGAGCGAGACAGTAGAAACAGCCACCGAGTATAGACCATGGCTAGTAGTCAGTCGGCGGTCGGAGTCCGCGCGCGACGGATCGTGAGGTGATAGGCTTGTACTACTTGCTCGGTCCCTCGTTTGACAGCGGCGCGACGATACAGTTGACTCCGCGCGAAACTGCAACACGTGCATGCGTGCGTGCATTTCGTGTGCGACGATAGTGAAAAGTGCGCGTATTTCTCTGAGACTCGCGTCGCGCGTGGATGCGGATTCAAAACGGATATATATATACGAGAATCGTCTCGCCCGAACCGGGCGTATTTCGTCTTCGTACGTATTTAATTGCGAATTGTGCAAGACGCGCTCGTGATTAAATCCCGATTAATTAAATTTGCGTACGAATTACATTCGAAAAGCTTTCGCTGGTGGCAGCGACGGTGTGCGATTTGGACCAATGCATTTCGGTGGGCCGCGTGACAAAAATATCCGCGAAAAATGTCGGCAGCTCGCCAAGCGGCCTCGAGAGCAGCCGTCGCGCTCTTTTGAGGCAGGTTTGATAAGATAATCCAGAAATAATCACATCGATATAATGGCGTATCTATGAGCGCGACAAAACAAGATATACGTGATATTATTTCATTATTGCAAACGAGAGACCGGCTTCGTAAAATTGACAGATTTTTCAAAGCGATAACTGCAAATTTCTTCTGTAAATGTAGGATCTCAAAATACGTGTCAGGGACATAATAAACCCATTCTCGACGTTCGATTCGAGGGATCCATATTGAGGTTCCTTTTTTACGAAAGAACGAATTTCACACGAGCGTGACGATATAAAAGCGTCCTCGCGTCTGGCGTTTATGGAGCTCTGAGATTCCTCGGAAATTATGCTGCGCTCGAATGTGGACCGCGAGATATGGAGCGAGAGTACGAATGCGCGTCTATTCTTGAGAAATGTTCGCGGCAAAGGCTGCACCGCGCTCTTACAAAAAGAGTAGCATGTCAACCGCTGAAAAGGAATACGTGCGCAGAGAAAGGAAATGTCAAGTATTCCAGACACACGTATGTGAAAACTCGTTCGCCCAATCATTTCTCTCTTCCCCGGAATTTCTTCAATTGCGTAAGCCATACGTTTCGAAAGTGACGTAAGTCAAATTTTGGGAATCTCTTAAAATAATTATATCATAATTCAATTAATTATCGATATTATTCTTTAGCGCGAAGTTAGCCTTACGAATGGATTTAAGAGAGCAAAAGAAATATATTCTACACATGTATTATTTTTATCGGTGACGCGTTTTATTAGAAAAAAAATTACTTTTATTAGAAAGAATAACGTGGAATGTAAATAGTCAATCTTCAATAATAAACGAATATAAACGTTGAAAATTTATCGTATTAATATTTAAACTTTAATTGCATTAGTTTTTTTCGTTTTCATATCGCACGAGCAAAAATAAGAGTTCCATCAATGCTTGCAATATGCAAAAACTCTAGCAATTATAAATTCTGCATTCACTCACTGGAAAGCAACAATCTTCATAAACAAATAAACTAGTACGAGTTTGACGAAAGAGATCAAAACAACCTGCACATATCTGACATGATACTGTTTTTTTTTCCTAAATGATTTTTGTCACAAAATTGATTAAAACATTGATTATTTTTCTATTTCTTTCACGAGTGGAAACTGGAAAATATAACTGATAAATACAGGAAAATTTGAAAAGGATGATAAAAGTTAAGGTACAAAACTTCGTGAAAAAAACAGCTAGTTATAAAAATATGGAATAAAATGCAAAATTTCTTTAAAATAAAAAACTTTGTATTTTTATTAATTTGTTAAGTTTACAGTTCTGTAAACTTTCTTTATTACATGGACAATGTTACGAATAACCGTGAAAAGATGTCATCCGTTACATCACACATTAGATGTAATTTAAAAAGATATCACAATATAATATGACATGATTTAAAGAAAAATTACATGTAAAATGTCAAGGATAGAAAACCGTCCAAATTACTGCGAGAGTCAATGAAATTACGACAAAACTCGGAAGAGGATGGACAGGACTCGATCCTGCCAAGTAGCCCTTCATTGCCATTCATGCATATTCAGCTGGGCATAGGGAAAAAAGGGCGATAACCCCAGTACGGCCGTGAATACCAAATACTTTGCAACACGAAGATTTTTTAATGAAA